GCTGTTGTTGTTGTAATAGTAGTAGTAGTAGTAGTAGTAGTAGTAGTACTAGTAGTAGTAGTAGTAGTAGTAGTAGTAGTAGTAGTAGCAGTAGTAGTAGTAGTAGTAGTAGCAGTAGCAGTAGCAGAAGCGGAAGCAGTAGCAGTAGCAGTAGTCGTAGTTGTAACAGTAGTAAGTAGTAATGCAGTAGTGGTAGTGGTAGTAGTTGTGGTACAGTACTAGTAGTGGTGGTACTAGTAGTGGTGGTACTAGCAGTGGTTCTTCCAGTAGCATGAGGAGGAGGAGGATCAGCAGCAGCAGCTATAAACAGCAAGAAGAATAAGAAGGCGCCTTCGCCTGATCAAAGGCAGTTGAGTTCTGTTGTGTCTCCGATCTAGAGCACTCGGGCATGAGAGACCCTATAGGTCTTCGAAGCCGAAACTCAATCCCTTCGGAGTTCGGCCGTCAGGCTTTAGGTTTTGACGCAACGGTGACTGTGTTATGGCACTTATCGTGGAAATGGGATGTACATGGCTTGAGTGACTGGAGTGTTCAACATGTCAAGGTACACGTTTGGAGATCAAGTGGCTCGGGATTCAGAATTGAAGCGATCGGCTTGGACTTACCGTACTTAGCGTACAGGCCCGAGCTGTTACGACGCAAAGCCCAACCCCACTGCAATGAAAAGGAATGTGTACAAAACTAGTTTACAACAGCGAAGCATGCACCCACCTCGTCTGCACTCAGCAACCATTGTCCCATCAGACAGCCCCTCTTTGAATATGTGTTGCATGAGAGCAAAAGAGTGATACATAGGCTCAGCCCTCAGAAAGAGTGGCTCAAAGTCTTTTGTGTGCTTTGCGCCACGCCGCCAGGAACTCAAAGAAGTGGAGAGGCCCCTTCTGGTCTAGAGCGAACTCCTGGGCGTCAAATGCTGCGGTTCCGGGGTTCCCGGCTGGTGATGTTGCGGCGTTAAAGGCATCTGGGGCCGAAGACTGGAGCGCTGAGCGTGAGCGCTGCAGGTTGGTAGGGGAAAGCTTGCAGGATGTGCTGGCATCTAGAAACCATCGAGCCTCCTCGATCATGAGTCATGCCAAGCTGCTACAGCTCTGTCCAACTCTTAAACCGCGAAACACCTAAACCAAACCTAAAGATGTTAAGTTGTCCTTGGGCTTCCAGGCAGGAGGGTTTCTTGAGAGGCTGCCATCTTGGAGCGTTGCTGCAAGCTTCGGGAGTTGGAGGGTCGGAGGGGATCAGGCGTCGGTTTTGCAGGCCAAAAACCCTCGTCTGGATGGTTCAGGGAAGGCTGGAAATGCTAAGTGTTTAGTCTCTGGCGGTTTGCGGCCCGCACTCTGTTGGAACTTGGGTTGGACCTAGGGCTGAGGGCTTGCAGGAAAGTCTGCAAGGGACGAGTCTACAGTGTCTGCCGGAAGCATGAGCAATGGACACAGCTGTTCTAGCAGAGGCGTCTGCTGACCGACTTTTGCGAGGTCACATTGCATGATTCACGGAAAATGAACTCCCGAAACCAACCAAAGGGTCGACTACGCTACTACATTTTACTGCATCGTAGAAAAGGGTGTAGTGTAGTCGAAGCGGTTGCTGCCAACCGCCGGAAACCGGCAACCCCTGACTCGAAGCTCTGAACCTGTCACCAAAACCGGCATCGCAAGCACCAAGACGCCGTGATTTCGCCGATGATCGTACCCAGGTGGTCTGCACCTTCGGCACCCGGACCGGATTCGGGAGGATGCCCAGCACAATGATGAACGAGCATCTGTCAAAAACTTTGGGCCCTGCAAACACACAAACACACAAACAGAAGCAGCCGGCCCCGCACCCGGCAATTTCGACATTTACAAAGCCTGTGCTCCTTCGGACCTAGAAACGCCATGAGTCCAAAAGCTGCCAATCAGAAGAGCAATGCCTCTAGGCAAAGTTCAGATGCCCAGAGCTTCGTTGGTAAGACTGGCAATCGAAACAGGAACCTTTATGTGTTGGGGCAGGATTGAAAGACTGGGAAACTCTGGAACGAACCTAACGGGCTCCATAGCACCCAAAACCTTCGATGCCCGTGCTCTGAAGTTACGAAATTGAGGAATGCGCCTCTCCCAACTCAAGCCTAAGACCTCCCTTGAGCCTACCCTCAAAACCCTAGGCCCTGAGCCCTCCGTACTGAACTCGGGAGCCGCAAATCCCTGTACTCACCTATACTAAAGCCCGAACTCCAAAGCCTCAAACCCTGAACTCTTTCACCCGAAGCTCCAATTGGCGCCTCAAGCTTCAACCTCAAACGCCAACTCTGAAAACACGCAGGCCTACAGCCTTAAGCCGTTCACTTGAAACCCTAATTTCCCCTCCAGTCCTGGATCCTTATCTACACTTGCATTGATGCAAGAACACATGATAAGCACACATGCACAGCATAGTACAAGACTGGATGACAACAACACATCACTACATGAGGGCCACAAAACCTCGCTACATGTCGCGACCCTTCGCGCCATAATCAACCCTAAATTTTAAATCCTAAACCCCGCACTCCTAAGATCCTAAACTCCGAAACACCAAAACCGTCAGAGCCTAATCTTGAATCCTGCACCCTGCAAAGGCCGAAGACCCCAGCACTGCCCCAGATGCAGACTTGCGCTGCGAACCCTGAACACGAAGGCACCTGCTCCAGATCTAGGACAGGGGTATCCCACCGCCCCCCTGCCCGCCCCCTTCGGGGGGGATGCGTTCGAAGCCCTCTCTGCCCCACTCTGTCTGACTGTCCCTCCTCTTTAGCCAGAGAGCAGTAGACCGTCTCCAGGGCAAGAAGCGCCTCGGAGAGATGCTGGCCAGGCAGAAACCTGCCAGCTTAGGGCCCTCGCTCAGATTCGTTTAAGCTTAGGACCTTAGAGAAAGGCAAACGCTTCGGGACTTAGGTAAGTTTAGGTTTTCGTGCTTTCAGTGTGTGTTTTGGATTCTGGGCTTTACGAGGTCAAAGGCCGTTTACGGTTCGTAAGTTGGCTTGAGGAGCTGGAGGGTTTCGGTCAACAGGGCTCTTGACGGCTTCAGGATCTTTTGGGGTCCAAAATCCAGAGCGGAAGGACTCGAAGGTTTTGTTCTCGTTCGCTTTAGGATCAAACGGCAGAAAGTTTAGAGGGGCATTGGATGTGACTGCGTCGGCGTTTCGAGGGTTTTGGGTCCAAGGCTTGTGTCGCTTCAGGGATTTTTTGTTCTTGCCTTGCGATAGAGCTTGCGATAGAGCTTAGGCTACAAAGGGGGACAGGAACACTGGAACTTTCGCGGAACCTCGCGCTTCTTGGATAGGCTGTTGGATGCCACATCGAAAATCCAGCAAGCAAGCAAGCAAACCTCCGATTTCGCGGCTTTCGGACTTAAGGCCGTGCCCGGGCCGGGATTTCAAGCTCAAGATTTCATGCTTCATCAGCCCGCCTGCCCTCTCGCATCCTGGCTGTGGGCGTCGAGGCGCCCCCGACCAAAGCGAGGCGGTCGAATTCCTCGTTCGCTTTCTCAATCTCCTGCATGGAGAACCCTTCAAGCGGCAAACCAAGCAAGGGTTTGGGCTCTTCTCCGAACTCAAGGAGCAACTCACCGAAACAAACCCTCGAGCCTCGGCCTTTTTTGAGGAGGGGCTGCGGTGCACATGCCCTCGCGCCTCAGCCTCAAGCCCCACCCGAGCCCAACACCCCATGCCCAGAACTCACACGACGTATGGGTTCCGGAACCGTTGGGAGCCCACGCCCGAACCCAGAAAGACTGGAGCTGCTCTGACAGCTGCTTCTGCTGTCGCCCTAATAACACCTTTCGATGTTCGCATGGACCATCTTACAATGTACATATTCGACAATGAGGAGTTGAGCGTGCTGGGGGCACAAGATTCGGACAAGTGCTCGATGCACTTCATTGCACAACCATCTAGAGGCTATCTGCTGTGGATCATTGCCACTCCGTACTCAAGCCGGCAACGAAGGCCTTTAAACCCCTGAATCCCTACACCTCAAACCCTGAAGCCGTTCCGAGGAAGCGAGCCTCCTGCGTAAAGCCCTCGCAGGCGCGATAGGCAGCAAGAAGCCGCCAAAGCTCCTGGTGTGATCTTGGTGCAACGCTTCCGACCTTCTTCAGGAAGCTTGTGCCTGTGGCATTAAAGTAATTGGGGTCTTTGGTGACGTAGGCCGTCTAGGAGGGGCTTCGGTATTCCACATCAAAAACGTGCGAGTTCCTATGGTGCTGGATATGCAGAAGCTGAATGCTGTCGGGATCTTTCTACGGCTGTATGTATCGACTGGACCTGGGTGCCAGACCTCCTGTGTGTCGCAGCGGCGGTTAGAGAGGCCGCCCAGGCTCATCATCTCCACTACCAGCTCCTGCAGAAGCCCTAAAGATGAAACCGCCCTCTGTGCAGCCGAAGCGAGCCTAACCAAAAGGTGGCGTCTACTTGAAGCTTTTAGTCTGTCAAGGTTTGGGTGCAACGGGGTATCGATTCCAAGCGGGACAGCTCTTTTAAGGGTCAGACGGCTCAGGTCTAGCCTTCCCGGCGCTACAGTTCTAGGGCCCGGGGTTTGTGTTCGCCAACATGACTAGGACCGATTGATTTTTGAGGATGTTGCAGGAAACGGCCATAAAGAACACTGGATCCTGATACCCTCAAGGTGCCTCTGTGCCCTCACAGAGAGATTTGGGGTCGACAGCTGTCGCAGTATCTCCTTCGTGCAGATCACACCGAGAGACTTCAAGAAGAGCCTCATCCTCGGTAAGTTTCGGGCGCTTGATACGGAAGGTCTAGTTCATACCACTTTTCGCGAGCTTCTGTATCGCACAAGCGCGGAGCTCGTGGAACCATCTGTCTCCAAACCAGAGCACTCTGTGAATCGCGTTCGCGTTGGCCAAATCGGCCAAATCAATACATCCGCAACCGACACCAACAGGACAGACTAAAAATCATCTGGCCGAGAGTCTTCTCCGCCACGTCGTCCGTGCGCAACGCAGTGCTCCTGATGAGCCAGACCTTCAGGGCACAGGGTTCAGGACCCCAACAAAAACATGAAAAAAACAGCCGTTCGTCCCATGAGTACGAGCAGGATACCTCAAGGCTGAAAACTGAAAATAGGGTAAAGTTTATGAATCCCGACTCCAGGGTCTGCAGAACGCGCATCCTGCTATCGAGAGTTGATATTATGGTCCGCTTTCTGTGGCCTGAAGCTCCCCTTCGAGCCCAGCTCCCCACAATTGTAAATGTAACTAAGATCCTCTGAAGCCCAAGTAGGACAAGCACAACACATCCCAGTGGCCTACACCAGACAAAACAGTCGCAGGACCTGAACTCACGGCAATTTAGGTGTCGACCTCGATCTTTCGCTGTAGCGCTTCTCGCTCAACAGTGACCACATGATCGACGACGGAGCAGAAGTCCTGAGATGCGATCTGGTGTCTTGAAGGTTTTGAACCCAAGTTGAGGGTTGTTTTGGATTTGACGCTCACACTGATTCCAGGGTGCTCGGGGCTTCTGGACTTAGCACAGGGGCCCAATCTTGCGCGACTGGGGCGCACGAGTATGTTCGAAGCAGGATCGGATCTAGAACGGAAGACAGATCATAAGCATTGGCGGTTCCTCAGTTCACTCGGGCACGGTCTGGACTTCAGGTTATAAGACTCCTGAGCGTGCCTCCACTCCTACGATTTTATTAGGCTCAACAAACATCACGGGTCTCAAACTTTAGGGTGTCTGAATCCCAACTGCCATCGCTTCATGCTCGGGAGCTTTGTTTACAGAGAAGGACCGGTATGACTGGCTTATGCTGGACGAAGATTCTGGGTGCTTCTAAGCTTTGGAGGTGTTTGCCGGTTGATAACTGGGAGAACACAAAGCGCAAGCCAGCAAACAAAGACACGAAGGGAGTCTCGAACAGGTAACCCCCAACTTGCGGCGATCGCAGCTTGCGATGAAGCAGGATATGGTCCTCGTGGTGCTGGGCCGGAGGGAGCAAAAAGCCATAACAGAACATGTGAAAATCAAGAATAAAACATTGAAGGCAACGAAAAATGAAAGAGCAGGGTCCCCAAGGCCAACACAAACGCCCCTCGGAAAACTGCGAAAACCAAGGAGCCTCAAAGGCCCTAAGCCATAAAGCTGCAAGGCACGTGGAAGTCCAGCGACGGGTAGCCACTGACATCGTCGGCTGCTTCTCTGACCTGACGGTAACGGAGTTGGAAGTGTTTGGGACTTTACCTCAAACCTCAGACCCAAGATCACACCCTGGAAGATGAATCGTGAAGCTTCAAGTTTGGGCTCTAGATTTGGGGATCCTCAAGGGACCCATTGCATTAGCAACTCCCCGATCCTCTACAGAGTACTTCTGCTCAGGCCTGTTTCTTCCGTTTTGGGAGCCCACCTATGCCTGTGCAAAACCCCAAGCTCTTCTAGAACTTGTCGGGCTCAGTATTTCGGTTTTCAGGCTTTATACTCTCACATCGAGCGAAGTCGGCGTGAGACATTGTGAGGCTATATCAAGCTTCTCTCCAAGAAGGGGCCTGAACAACCAGAATCGGGGTGGTGAAGAGTAAATTACAACTTCAGGTTGTAGGGCTGCGGGTTGAGAGTCCAATTGGGTTCAGGCCAGAAACGACGGGAAGCTTCTCTAAATAGCAGGAAGATCGAGGTTCCTTGAAACAAGTGGTGGGCCGGCAACACTTGTAGCGAAGAACACCGTCATGGGCTGAGTATATGAAGCAAAGACGAAAAAAGAAAGCACGCTCGCCTTGTCCTAGTCAGAATTGCTGTCCGTGTAAACGACCGGCGCAACCTACTCAACCGCAGCTGATGGAGTTGGCGCATGAGCAGTCCCTACCATAGGATTCAAACCTTCCGCCAACCTGCAGAAGAGACCGGGCAACGTGAACTTGTCAGGCTCTCCTTCGTCGCCGCAGCGGTCGGCGTCCAAACTCATCAGGATCATTTCCTAACTGGTTCACGAATTCAGCACGCAAAGCTGGCAGAGACCGACGATCTTTCGGCACGTCGTGCCAGTGATGAGAGTCCGGGTCACACTCATCAGGTTTCACAACCCTTGCGTGAATCTCGCGGGACTTCGCTCGGCGCCTTTTACGTCTACGTCTGCGACGGGCGAAAGGTCTGGGGATCACCTCGAGAGAAGGATCCCAGTTCTCACATCGCTCCTCTCCAGCATACGGGGACGAGTTGGGCTGGATGATGATGCCGGTGATCATCACGCGGTCGAAACGCCTGGAGTCGAAAATTCATGTCCCCTTTCCTTGCTGCTGGAGTCCACAAGTACTCCGTTATGCAGGGTGCTGTGTACCGGGTAGAACCACGTTCCATGAAAACCTCGACTCCACCCTTCTTCGGGCTCTGTGTGTGCATCCTCCACAGTGCAGGGCGGAAGGTCGCGGTGGTACATGAAAGGATAGGACGGGTCGCGCTCGGAGGCAGGCGGATCCCATCTCACATCTCTCTGCAGGGTCTCCCGGAGCTGCCGCTCCCAGAGCCAGCGTCTGAAGTTCAACTGAAAAGACTCCATGGCAATTTCATCAGGCAACGGTTGGTGAGACTTCTTCCCGCCGGAAGATTGATTCTTCCAGTGCTGCACCATATCATGCCGGTTGTAATGCGCTATTTGTCGTGGCCCTCGTGGCATCCAGCCGTCTGTTTCCTTGTCTCTGCCGCTCTTGCGTCTTTCTCGAGGAACCGGCGGTGAAGGCGCACATTGGAAGGTACGCCGCAGCTCCTTGTCGAAGACGTACACGAAAGGATGGCTCCCTGCAACTTCCTTCACGTCCTCGAGCTTAGACATGTCCAGACTGTCCAGAGTGTCCCGACCCAACGAGCCATCGAAACCGAAACATCTGCCCTCCGCAGGATTTCGCGGGTTTAGGGTTCCCAACTTCTAAAGCTATAGGATTTTGGACTCTCGGGAAGAAGCCAAGGGCTAGGCACAGTGGCCGTAAGGATTCCGTCAGAACACTTCGCAACGAGTCTCCGGTTGTTTTGAGCTTGGAAGTGTGTGCCTTGTTCTTGCAGCAGCGAGCTCGGGGCCAGAGATTTGGTGACAAGGGGAGTCTGCACGGCTCACGTGGGCTGTGAGCCTGAAAGCTGTAATCCTACGCCTTACAACCGCAATGTTACGCTTTTCGCCCAAAAAACACCACTAGTAGTAGGACTGAAGCTCTTAACTCTTTGCCCGCCCGGAACCCACAAGCCCTTCTTTCATCTGCGGTCTGATATGGCACGTTCAGCCCTGCTTAAACCTTATTTCGAAAGACGTACTGGCACAGAGTTGGTACTTTGTGTATCGGTGTGAAAGGATTTTGCGTAGGTGCCGCTTAACCTTGGAAGTCTAATCATCACAACGGAGCTAGGCCTTACCAGCGGCGAGTAACGTCAATGGGAACCCCCTGGATTTGAGCAGAGCTTCTCTGCAACTGCTTCCGCTCTTGCTTGAACAACCCAAACACCAAATTCTTAAACCTTAAATCTTACGACCTAAACCTTACACTTGAAACCCGAAATCACACCCCTCAACCCCCAAAGCCATAACCCCAAACCTGACATCTTTAACCTGAATTTCGAGAGCGAGACACCAGATCTTGAACTTAAACCCTCAACCGTCAGATCTGGCAACCCCTAAGCCTAAACCTAAAACGTAAACCGTGAATCTTAATACAAACATCTCAAATACAACCCGGAAATCTATAAACCATGAAAGCTAAGCCCTAAACCGACCCTAAACCCCTCACGCTCGACGAGCACCTTGGATTCATCCACGGTGAGGAAGCCCAGATAAAGGAAGATCATCAGCAGGCTATCCTGGCAGCAGGGTCGAGTGCAGTTAGGGCTTCTGGGTTTGCTGCTCGTTTGTTGTGTTTCTTGCTGCATTGCTGTACGAGGCACCAGGCAAGGTTACAGCACCACTTTAGCATTCGCCATCAACCCGCTAGCTTTTGGAGTTAAACGTTCGGTCACTCTCTTTCTTTCACCGGGGCTGCGGTCTCTCACTCTTCACTTCACTTCACTTCACTTCACTTCACTTCACTTCGGGGTTCGAGGAGCTTGTTAGGCTCCCCGCGCCGAAAGGCGCCCCCGTTTGGGGGCTTTGTAGGGGAGAAGACGAGCACTTCGGAAAAAGACATGGTTGCCCGATGTGTTGTAGCAAGAAGTAAAGGTCTATCACTCTCTCACTCTCTCTCTCTCTCTCTCTCCTGGGCATGAGGGCCTGTCAAAGCCCCCGGGCGTCTAGCCCACCCGAACGCTTGTCGGGGCGAGGGGAGTGAAAAACGAACGTAGCTCATCAAATGGACTAAGGCCCTGAAGTATACGATATCGGACACATGATGAGCGTACGTTCTCAACAGAAACATGCGCAAATTCATTGCACAAAACCACGGGTGATTTCTTTGATAACATCCCAGACAGCGAATACGTAGAGCCGAAACGAACAGTAGCTGGGATGCACGTTCCCCGGTTTTTGTGCAACTACGCGGGCAAAACCTTCAAATAGAAGGCGGACCTGAAAAAACATGCCAAATTATTCGCCCTGCAATGCTTCGATTGCAGAGTTCGGCGGAATTGACGATGAGCGGAATGAAGGATTAATTAACTCAGGTCCCCTGTTTGAGCATCACGTGCAGGGTGCTCTGGAGTGTGCAATAGACCCCGCAAGGGCTGAAATTGTTTGACTGAGGATACTACAGGTGCTGACCATCGCAGGTCGTTTTGAAAAGAGACTTGTATTACTGCGGCTTGGGGGAAAGGCCGGGCAAAGGAATCTGTAAGCAGAAACACCGGGCATCCACACAATACAAACACTTTCTTCCCCCCACTTCGCAAAAGCTGTGGCATCTGTCTCCCAGAAGTGCAAGTATGTTACATCCCCCGAAGGGGTGACATAAAAAGTTTCGGCAGGCGGTGCGGTATAGATGTCAGCCTCAAGGAGGCCGGATTGAAAAAGATTGACAATGATCCTGCAACTGTGGCGTCCCTACAAGGGGTCGAAGAAGCGTATCAACAACCAAACAAGTGTTCACCTTGAACAAGGAAGTAACACGTTGGCACCCCCGAACAAACGAATTACAACAAGTTAGCAAGCGAACTCAGACAGGTCTCAACGTACATGCAAATCAAGCTCCGAAGTACCCCCTGAACGGCCTAGAGAGTGCACCGGTAGCCATCGGCTGAATTGATCCTCTTCGACATGCCTTGCTGCAGTGATGAAATCTGCACTCTCAGAAGCACTTGCGGTGCACGGTGGTCGCGCTGCTTTCATCATGCTCGCCTTTGGAGATTCGCATCTGCTGGAAGGTGCTGAAGGAGGACAGAGTGGAGCTTCTAATCCATACACTGTGCTTACGCGCCGTCCCCCCCCTTCATACTAGAAGCCAGGGCAGTCAGCTCCTTGGTCATGCACTCACCGCTGCGCTGGAGCATGTCGGTGCCACCAGACAGCACAACCTTGGAGTAGAGGTCCTTTCGGATGTCCACGTCGCACTCCGTGGTGGGCTGGAAAGCGAGTGCGTTGTAGCAGAGCTTCTCCTTGATGTCACGGACCATCTCGCACTTCGTGGTGGTGATGGAGCAGCTACGCTCGGTTAGGATCGTCATCAGCTCGGTCAGGCACCCATGGCTGCAGAGAAAAGGCGAGACTAGCTGTTACTTTGGAAAGGGAAGGAGGGATCCGGTTCGCCCACCACGGCACAGGTCGTGGGCTCACCTCCCCCGCTTCCCCCTCTTGAAGCTGCGCAGAACTCCAGGTCGGCGATGTCGTTGAAGTCACCTTGAGCCTTGAGCCAATCTCTCTCTCTCTCTCTCTCTCTCTTGCTTGCTGCAGGTGAAAGGCAGGGGTAATCCCCGCCCTCCCCCGTCCCCGTGAGGGACCTGTGCGGCCTGCGTCCAGGTGAAACTGCCCCCTATGTGTTACACCTTTAACCCGTACCTTCCCGCCTCCATCCCGAGCAAACAAACCCCCGAACCTCGCGAAGCACCGCCTGCACCTACCTGCCTGACCTTCGTCCCTCAAGCCTCGTACACCGAAAACGGGGTGGGGTGCGAGCTCTATCACGACTGCAAAGACCACTGAAGCACCAAGGTTCTACTGAGTGTAGGGCTTGTAAAGTGGTGTACAGCAGTGAGCTCCCGCGCCCGGGTACTGTCTCGGCTAGGTCAGGACTGCGAGTTACTGTCCCCGGGCAACCGCGTGCTCTTACAACCACGAACACAAACGAACGGCTTCACCGGCAGTGGTGTTGCCTTCGCAGTCCGCTACAAAGTGAGGCCCCCGCCAAAAGCAAGCAACGAAACCAAATCTCTGTCTCTCTCTCTCTCTCTCGCAGGTAACCCGAGTCGGGCGGGCACCTTACCCCTCGCATGCGCACGCGCACCCGTGGTCCACAGGTTTTTGACCTCCACCTACTGAGTACCTATTGGGCCAAAGGGGTTTGAATGCCCTATCGACAACCCCCTGCTCCACCAAGAAGTGGTGGTAGTTCCCAACATATGGCATGACCTGAGTGAGCACCTCGCGGGGGTTGTGCATGCCATCGACGAACTGCAGGAGCCATGGCGCATGGCCTGCATGGGTCTCGATGAGGGTTCGGAAGCCCCCCAACGAGCAGGCAACGTCCAGCTGCCGAGGTCGCACAAGGCCAAAGCCGGTTGGGTGGTGGCACCCGGCAGCACGGCGAGATTGCTCGCGCCGAGGTCATATAAACCTCAATGCCATGGGCCACCACGAAGGCCACGCAGGCGAGGGTGTAGGCGAAAAAGCGTCCGGTAACAGCCGTGCCCCGAACCGACTGCAAAAAACGGAAAGGCCAAGACAACCTTTTCCTGCACCAGGAAGGGGAAAGCAATATCGCTATCCCAGAAACTCGCAGCTTGCCTGTGCTGAGCACCCTCGCTGTCAGCATAGGAAAGACGCCTGTGAGTTGGGCCTCATGCCCATGGAAGCCGAGCTTTAAGACATGGTGCGGTCCTAGGTGGAAGACTGTTCTGTTATCCCCTGCGAAAGCTTTTGGAGGGGCACGGGGAGACGGAGCCCGAAAAGGGCTTCTGTGTCCCCAGGCCAAACAGGGGCTTGGAGAGTGACCGCCGACGGCAAAAATTGATGCGGGTGGGTCGGGGCCTATCGGCCTTGATGTGGACCTGGGTCGGTCCAGGGACTCAGCCGGTGGCGGCGAGGAGGCTCCTGCAGCGCTTGGGAAGCAGATGGAACCTCAACCTCGGGAGGTGAGGGTGCCATACTTGCCTCAGCATTGCCTGTGCTGGGGAGCCTCGGTTTTGCTTGTTTTCAGGAGAGGCTTTGGCGACCTAGCCACGGAAAGCGAGGGTGAAGGCGATGGAGGTGCCGAAGCCTGACGAGGAGGAGTATGGGAAGCGACGACACAGCCGGAGACTCTGGACCGGGCCCTCGGGCAGCAGCCGACCTACCAGGGGCTTCAACAAGCCTTACACCAGGCGCTGCTTCGCGGCTTTTTCTACCTCAGCCTCCTGGTGAAGGCTCGGACTGTTGTTGAGTCTGTTTGGGTGGCAAGGACCAGCCGCACCGCAGGTTCAGGCGCTGCACGGCTGCGGACCGATCAGGTGCGGGAGGAGGTCTTAAAACCAACGCGAGGGCAGCGATGGGGAAGCCTCGACGGTACCAGGCATGAGGGCCTCAGGGAAACCCAGCAAAACCTCAGCAGCAAGCGAGGGAGCCTTCGGACCTTGGCGGGAGAAAGGGAGGGTCTGAGCCTTGGAGTGAAGTGGCAGAAGGGGAAAGTCTGGAGTCCTCAGCTGTCGCGAGCGAGGGGCCCGAAGCCT